ATCTTTGTTGGTATGTGGTGCTGAGGATCGAACCCAGGCCGCACACATGCCAGGCGAGCGCGCTACTGCTTGAGCCACATCCCCAGCCCCTATTCATAGGCCTTTCTAAAAAATTTTTTATTCTGAATTAGGATCTCAATAATTTGCTTAGGTCCTCACTAAATTGTTTGAGAGTATCTTTGAACTTGTGTTACTCCTGCCTCAGCCTCCTAAGATGCTAGGACTACAGGTATTCACTTTTTTGCCATTAATTATGATGATAAAATGAGGTAATGGATGTGAAAATCCTGTGTGAAATTGTAATTAATGCTAGAAAGTATATTCTATGTGCTTCTTGATTACTTTTTAGTTGGTTTTAATGTAAAGTAACTATAGTATATTGTAGGTAATATAATGTGTAATCTTGGATACAATATAAGTATAACCAAACAGAGGGGAAAGGAATTTATTAAATAAGATTTTTAAATACTGATTATTTTTAGTCTGTTTGCTGAATATATGCAAATTTATACTTTAACTTATAAAGGAATTCTCTCTTTTTTCCTGTTCAAATATGGTCAGCTTTGTGTATCTGTGTGTTCCATATTTACATATTAAAGTAATCACAAATTGAAAATAGATGAAGAAAAACTGCATGCGTGCTAACCAGGCACAGATTTTTTTCTGTCATTATTAATTTAAAATACAGCACTGTTTGCATAGCTTTCTTCATTTTATTAGGTATTGTACATAATCAAGAGATGATTTAAGTCTATAAGAATATGCATAGATTACATGCAAACGTTGCTCCATCTTATATAAGTGATGTGAAAATCTTGTATTTTGGTGTCCTTGAGGAATTAGAATCAATGCCTTGTTAATTTATAAATTAAGTGTTAAAAATTCAAATTTGTGATATTCTGATAGAAATATGATTCCATCTAATCTCCAAATCTAGGGAATGGAAGTAGAGCAAGTTTCTGAATATTGTAAGAACAGGTATTAAAGAGAAATTTGAATTCCCTTCCTCAATTCTATTTTGGATCAGAGTAGCATTAAGAGCAACAATCTAGGTTTTAGAATAAAAATTACTTAACACTTACTTTGGGTTCCACCACTTTGAACGTTTCTGAATATCAGTTTCCTCATTTATTAAATGGTTCTATTAGTATCTAATGTAGTTCCTGTGAGTAGATAATTATATCATATTTTTACTTATCTTCACACTTACTAGATTTTTTAATTTTGTTCTCTTTTCTTTTTTATTTTAACTTACATAGAATACCTGCTATAGGATAATTGTTCAGATGAAATCTATTTTGTAACTGGACTCCAGAAGCAAAGATAACAAACTTAGTCCAAAATCTAGCATGAATCATTGATTTAATCAAAACTATATAAACTCTTAATAGTCATATATCTTTGTAATATACAACATTTATCCCAGTAATATTTAAAAAAAAAAACTCACCTGTAGTTGCATCAAAAGAAGGATGTGGGAAAGGCCCAACAGCAATTGGCATAGGAAAGAGATACCCAGGAATACAGCGCTTGGGGTGAGGCTGGTTCACTGCCAGAGAAAAAGTAAACCCTATTTTTAATTATAAGATTTTGAAAATTAAATTCTAATCCCTTATACACCTTTCAATTCAACAAAGTATTTGAAGAACTGAATAAATAATAAGTAGAAGTACTTCATTTTGTAGCTAATACTGGTGGAATACAAAGAAGAGAAATGAAACGCCCAAGGTCATTTAAAGAAAGGTAGATATTGGGATACAAATATCATAGGTCTCATTTAATGTCTTATAAAATCTTGTCTCCTATGATATTTTGTGTGCTTTCAATTAAAGTCATTAAAATTTAATCAGCTTTTAGTATGTTCTTAAAACAACTAAGATAGATGTCGTGTGGACTATTAAGTCTCCAGCTTTATACAGATTACAACCTAATGATAGAAATAGAAACACATATCCAGGGTGGTGTAAATAATTATAGTCTGTCTTAAATGACATAAAATGTATCAAGGCTATTATTTTTGGTTTGTAAGAGGAGAAAGAGATTAATTTTAATTGAGAGTTTCAAAGAAAGAATTACAAAAGTTGTAGAATTTCACTTTGGCCTTGGAGGATGAGAATGCATTCATCAAGTGAAAGCAGAAAAAGGAAATTCTAGATAAAATATAGGGCACAAGCATAGGAAGTGACCCAACAAAGTAGCAAGCAAATTTGTTGTGGAAAGCCTAAATTTTGACAATAGAAGTGAAATAAAGCTATTTCTAGTTTTAAAAAGTGCATTGAGCATTTCAGAAACAAACAACAGCTACATATTTGTCCAAATAGCATAGATAAAATACCCATTTTATTTTCTAAGAGACAATTCAAATTAATGGAAGTTTTAGATATCTACCTAAAAATTAAAATATACAATATGATACAGGTCAAACATTGTGGAAGTAAGTTAACTGTTTGTATGTCAGGTACCATGATAATCATGTAATAGATGACAAAATCCGTGTGTCCAAAAGGTCACAAGGATGAGTTAAAACTAGCACAGTGAAATTTATTGTAAAGTCATGCTCTTAATTTCTAAAAGCTACTTGCATTCTATATGGTAAGAAACACATGGATAAAGAAAATAATGTAAAATTAATATAGATACTCTACAAAATTCACTATAAACTAAATATGGCTTAATTGTCAATTACATTAAACAAAAAGTTAATGCCATTTGAGTCTGCATGAATTGAGATAGAGTGACTTATCACTATAAATAAAGGAGATAAGTCACATCTGGGGCACATTGCTAATGATAGGTGCCACATTTTTAAAGGGACATGAGCAAATTAGAGTACAAAGAAGAGTGAATAGACCGGCTACAGAATGAGAATATTATTCTGTTAGAAACAATAGAATAAAATTAGAATATTTAAGAACAGAAATACATGGTTGAGATGAAAATGAAAAGAGATGAATAATAATGCTCATTAATCACTTGAGGAGCTACTGTGGATAGAAGTGACTGACTTGTTCTTGTGGCTCCAAGTGGCAGAATGAAATTCCATGGTCATAGATTTCAGAAAGACTGATTTTTGTTTAATAATAAAAGACACATGCTGTAATTATAGCTGTCAAACATTACAATAGTGGATTTAATGAAAGAAGCTAAGCACCCTTCAATGAAGGTAATGAAGAATAGACTTGATGGCTACTTGTCAACATGTTAGAGAAAAGATTCATGCATCATTCAGGTTGGGAGTTGGACTAGATAACCTGTAGGGTATCATATAACAGTAATGATCTCTGATTCTAGAAGCCCATGAAAAAACATGTCATCATAATAGAAGTGGATTATATCAATATTAATAACAGTATCTTATCATGATTAATGATATACTGAGAATGTTAGATGCATTAATACAGTGTCTACTGATTTTAAAGTGTTTTATTGTTAGCACTAGCACTTCAAAATAAATGGACATTTTCTCCACTTATATTACTAAAGAATTCCCATTGAATTGATTATTGCTACACCCTGAATATTAAATTAATTTTCTATAATAAATGATTTTAAGATGTATCCCAGGGGCTGGGGATGTGGCTCAAGCGGTAGCGCACTCGCCTGGCATGTGTGCGGCCCGGGTTCAATCCTCAGCACCACATACCAACAAAGATGTTGTGTCTGCCGAGAATTAAAAAATAAATATTAAAAATTCTCTC